AGCTGAAATGGCTAACCAGAGAAAACATACAAAATACTCAAATATTAAGTCAAAGGGATACAAGTTAATCGTCCTGGGTGTGGAAACTGCTGGGCAATGGTGCAAAGAAGGCATGAACTGGGTAAATGAAATAGGCCGCAAGCTAATTGAAAAATACCCCCGCCGCAGCAAACCTGCAGACTAAGCGAATTTCCATTTGCCTGATTGGATTAACACTAAAATGTATCCTTAAAAATATCACATTTATTCCTTACTAGCTGTTTGCCCGTTCAACGTACGGGAATCTTGTAGTAAGTTGAAACCTTATATTCAGAACAGGAGTTGGTTTGCATATTTAGTGTGCATTTTTCCAGATATGCTGGCAAAACTATTACTGTATAGGAATACATATAAACCTTCGCAACTACCATGTCTGAGAGTTTCAAAGCCAAAACGAAGGCTTCGCAATTAAATGTCACCCGATTGTGTTAGTCCATATTTTATATCTAATGATAAAAGGAATTGCTATAGATCTATGAGGCATAGCCCTAAGGTAGGCCTGTAATTGAAAGTTACTTTTCACACTGGTTAAAAGTAGTTAAAATACTACCTCAACCTCACTACTGCACACTTTATTCGGGTTGAAATTTTCATTAATAAAGGTGCTCTTGTCTTTTCCACGAAACACTGAGAAATAAGGACATTAATGCGTTACCAACAGACATACACACACAATAGCAGAATTGAATTAGGGGATTTGCTACGCTTTAACCAAAGCAAATTACAAAAAAAATAATTATTTGAAAGTTTTGATAGTGTCATCAAATGTTATGATAATCGTTTTTAGGCCTAATCAAACTGTAAAATTTGTGTAAATCCGTTGGCAAATATATAAATAAGTAAATAAATACACAGTCCACAAAAAATTTATTCGTTAACAACGTCAAGCTTTAAAAATTCATGATGGTTTGCTAAAAAATCTTTCAATAATTTTTATCATTTCATAGCATAAACTAACATTTTGGAGTCCAGACAGAAAACGCAAAAATTATACAGTAGGGCATCAATTAAATTTAATAAGAAATAAGGTGCAGCACTAACGATAACTATAGTTGTAAATAGTGATGTGTTTGTACATAAAAATTATTCTTACTGCTACCACCGGTTCTAAGGAAAAGTAGCAGTACCATAAACCAACGTTTACATTTAAGAAAAGAACTATAGTACTTACGACCAATTCAAACTGTCCTTCTAATCAAACTGTATTGTAGGTGTTAATCCGTTGGCAAATATATAAATAAATAAATACACAGGCCACAAAACATGTAACATGTAACGTTAACAACGTAAAGCTTTAAAAACTCACTATGGTTTGCTCAAAAAACTTTCACTTGATGTGGTACAGTACCAAAGTTATTAATCTCCCTTGGTTTTAATTTTTTTTTTTTTTTTTTTGAAAATCAAAGTTATTTCCCATTAGTCCCCTGTCAAATGTACATATACAGGCTCCCGTGTGCTCCTTAATGAGGCAGGTGTGGGAGTAGTCTTAATCTCTTCGTTTGACCTTGGAGAAATACAATTTCGATGGTGGCACTCTTGAAAATGGTGCGTTTGAACCCTGTGGGGAAAAAAACAAAATGGCCGCCGTCGCAAACTTGTTTTCCTACTTATGTCAGTAACCGTTAGGGCTATGAAAGAATTGTTGATACCAAAATGTAGCTATTTCAAATCTGCACAAAAAATATGCTTAAAGTTTTTATGTAGGATCAACCATTCTTTCATAACACATAATTTTATATTTTTCATAAATTAAATTAATCAGGATAGATGTAATGTCCCAGGACAGTTAAATATTTCAAAAAGTAAAAGGGTGTTTCAGTAAAGCGTAACGGGCTATGCAGATTCAAATTCTATGTGCAAAAGTAAGTCGAAAATGTTGTACAAAATTTTTTTCGATTTCGGCTTAGTTTAGCTGTAATCCGCCATTTTGTATTTTTTGAAAATAATTCATAACTCAAAAGCTCTTGCAGATATTTTTATGAAACTTGGTATAAACTTTAAGTCTGAAACTATAAACATTCTCCGAAAAAATCTTTGATCAGGCTCATCGAATTTCAAAATGGCGGCCATTAAATTCTTTTAAAGTCAAATTTCATGAAAACCAGCAATTATAACAAAACTTTGAAACACAATATGTAAAGTCCTTTTTATTACAAATCGAACGTCTCTTTATTTGCAAAAATCGGATAATAAATAAAAAAGTTATGTAACTTTTATTTTTTTTTGTCACTAGTTTCTATTGAATTTAACTTTGTCATTTCAAAATGACTGCTATTTTGATAATTACTATTAATAATGAAAGTAACATAACTTTTTTATTTATTATCCGATTTTCGCAAATAAAGTGTCATTCGATTTGTAATAAAAAGGACTTTAAATATTAAGTTGCAAAATTTTGTTTTAATTGCTGGTTTTCATGGAATTTGACTTTAAACATTTTAAATGGCGGCCATTTTGTTTTTACCCACAGCGATCAAACGCACAATTTTCAAGAGTGCCACCATCGAAATTGTATTTCTCAAAGGTCAAACGAAGAGATTAAGACTACTCCCACACCTGCCTCATAAAGGAGCACACGGGTGTACATTTGACAGTGGACTAGATTATTTGTAAGCAACTTTTAATGTTAACATATTAATGACAGTTTGAAGAAACCACCTTTATCCAAACAAAGGTTTCTTATTTAAAAGATTACGTAATCTCTAAACGATAATCGGTACATATATCTAGCAAACATTCGGAGGAAATGTGACAAAAAACGCAAAAATCTGAGGTTTTGGACGTTTGTAGTTTTACTTCCTAAGTAGGAAAAGTACCGATATCGTTGTCGAAATGTAAGTAAGTAGAAACCAAAAGTGACACATTGGAAAAGCGAGTTTAGCTACAGGTTACGATCACAGCAAAATCAGAAACATCTTCCAAGATCGCAGCAACATCCACGATCACCCACTGCAGTTCACCCACTGCAGTTGTGATTTTTTACTTTGCACTTTACACAACTGTCCTTGAAGCGCCGTCAATGGGTGGAAACCTTTTTTGTAAGCTATTGATGACGATGATTAAAAAAAATGTAAGTTTCCCAGCACTAATACAACACTGATTCACAGTATTTTCCCCGGTTATCAAAACTCAAGAACAATCGTTGCACTTTCGATTGATTAAACCGGTTAAGTAAGGCACAACGGTTTAATCTCACTTGGTTTGGATGTGCTAACATAACTTGATCGGAAATGGTTGCGGTATTTGTAAATAACTTTTAATGTAAACATATCAGTGACAGCTAGAAGTGAGAACTAATCAAAACAGCTGATCGTTATTTCATAAAAAGTAATAGTAAACATTAGGAGAAAATTTGACATTAATCTAACACAATAGGGTTTTTGATGGTTCGTTATTTTGTTTTCAAGGAAGCGAGGCCATGTTTTTATAGCCAAAGACACTCTCACCAATCCAGTAAATACAGACAAATGATTAGAATCTTGATCGGTACTCTAGTTTTCTAGGAGTAGGCCGCGTAAAATGACATTTTGGCGTCACAGATGGAATCACAGAATGGACAAACAGACAAACAGACATACAGACAGAAATTGAGATAAGACTCGTTTCGGCTTTCTTAGGCTATGAAACGTAAAAATAACCAAAAACTGCATGATTCTAAGCAATGTACAAACAAAACTGTAATTTTATTTATATAGATTTAAATAACATTAGTTTAATAAGTACTTAGGTTTGCTGCAACAGGGAGGGTAAAAAGGGGTGTTTTTTTATGTTAATGGTTTAGTATAAAATGAATGCATTTTCCAAATTTGATCAAAATATGTTCATAAACAAGCAAACTACAACAGTTCAACGCCAAAATAAAACAAAAATCCAGAAAAACCAAATCAAAACCAACCAAAACCAATGGTAAAACCAATGGTTTACTTATTCTCCATAAGAATAACATGGGAATTTTAAATTTACAGTTTTTTGGAGTTTTCTCCGTAACTTTTAGGCACATAACCACGCTTCATACCAAATTATTTGTTTTTTTAAGCTCTACAAAATAGTTTGGAAAGAAAATGCTAAATTTTAAGTTTTTAGGGTCAAAAATGGGAAAAACCAATTTTTACCCCATATAACCCCCATAAACCCCAGTTCCCATAGTCCGATTATGCTGGTTCGCGAACTCGTTCGAATAAATGTAGGTTTACACGTTTGTACCAAATTTCTTAAAAATCGGATGATTTTTGCTCGAGTTATCGTGCTAACGGACACATAATATATATGACATATAATATATATGAATTTGAACGGATGGTGTTTTTGGCCTCTAGGGACCTCAAAACGAAAAAGTAAATCGGTCCCGGGTCCAGGTCTTACCATGAGTACTACGGTAATAGCTTATTCCCTATAGGGAAATTCGCTAAAAACAGGTTACTATAAAGCAAGGAGCTGGTGGCGAGAGGTAAGCGTAAGCCCCTCAGGGCTACCCTTCCCTTAAGACCGCTGTGAGTCAGTTAATCTGTACTGCGTCCTTTAGTCACAGCCTACATGGGGTGCCACTGTTATCACTAAAGGCAGCCGATCTATGGTGGCAGAGTGCTGCTATCTGTGGTATATATATATCTGCCCTAGGGTCGGGGAGCAGCGACACTAGGATGACCTGAGGCCGAGGCAGCAGGCGGAGTGAATGGATCATGGTAAGGCTGCAGCACTGCTCTCCAGTTCTGGTATGTGTGCAGCGGTGCTGGAGTAGGTATTGATGGGCGGAGTGTATGGAACACGGTGCGGCCTTCAAACTGCTAACTTGGTATATTTCAGAAGCTATTATGTCTGGTAATAAAACAACAGAAACTACCCCAGGTGGGTCAGCGCCTAAGCGTGAATCCCACCCCTCCATCATGACTATCTATGAGCTTCATTTTAAGCAATGAACTGCTCGTTCTGATCGCATATACTTAGTCTAAGTCAAAATTTACCATTTCCTGTTCCATTTTCATGGATCTGGCCCCACTCTGCTTGATCAGTGACTACTTGTATGGAGCAGTTGTGTAGTCGAGCATATTCAATTACTATTCTCACTTCTGTTCCATCTAAAGGTTCTAAAACCGCATAAGGTGGATAGTTGAATGTGGCCACTTTCAATGCTAAAACACATTTACAAATTGGTTATAAAACTGAGAATTTGTATTTGTAATATTTGTTTCAACCGTGTATACAGAAATTTCTACATGCTCTAAATAACTCAAACAACTACATAAGTCAAACAAGTTTAGTGAATGCGGTAAGTCCTACCTCTCGGCCTCTACTTCTGCCTGACAACACAGAGCTCCTTAGCATTGGTGTTCATGGAAGTGGAAAGAAATCGGTGTGAGTGAGGGGGGTGAAAAGCAGAGTAACGGGGTTGTGAGTGAGGGGGGTGAAAAGCAGAGTTACGGGGTTGTGAGTGAGGCGGGTGAAAAGCAGAGTAAAGGGGTTGTGAGTGAGGGGGGTGAAAAGCAGAGTAACGGGGTTGTGAGTGAGGGGGGTGAAAAGCAGAGTAACAGGGTTGTGAGTGAGGGGGTGAAAAGCAGAGTAACGGGGTTGTGAGTGAGGGGGGGATAAGCAAAGTAATCAAATTGTAAATTTTATGGAAAGTCAGTGTACAAGTAGTCTTAAGGAGCATAGAAGAACACCTGCTTTGGCTTTAAACTTTGGTTTGGGGGGGGGAGGGCTTCTCAGGGAACTTAAGGCATAGAGATGTTCATTTAGGTGAGAACAATAAGCATAATTCAGTCATGGTAAAAAATAAAAAAATTAAAATTTTTCACCAAAACATTCAGAATTTGGTATCAAGAGTAAAGGGGTTATAGATAGTTCTAGATGAGATTAAACCTGACATTTTAGTCTTATCAGAACATAAGGGTCCGCGGAATTGGCTAACTCTGGAACTCGCTAACCCCATGTTAAACGCCCTATCTTCAAATTTGGTCGATGAGAGGAACTCGCTAACTTGTTCGGTTTCAGAATTGGCTAACTCCGAAACCCGCTAACCCGCTCTAGAGCCGGGTTAGCGAATTCCGCCCTCGTACGGAAGTCGCTAACTCGGTCCCTCGGCGGAACTCGCTAACTCCCAATCAGAAGCCTCGCGGGCCGTCCAATGGGAGCCAAGCACGAATATTTTCGGCCAGTGTTACCGAAAGTGTAGTACCTATATAGTATCGGTACCATAATGTCATATCCTACGGTTAATTAGGAGTAAGAGCAACGTAGTTGATCAAATAAATATATTGAGAAGTATGTTTAACATTATTCTCATGATTATTAGGGTGGAAAATGCATTATAGTCTTACCATAGACTAACCAACACAAGTAAACTTTATATCCCATTGTAAACTTTGAAGCTCGTTTTTTGCGTCTAGTTCATGTCCGGTGACACTGATCGCTAGTGTTGACAAAATTGTGTTTCTATTATTTCTATAGTTAACTTCATAATTTGCTCTTTACTGTTTGGTTATGTATTAGTTGTGATTAGAACGTTTTATTTGGTTAAACGAGGTTTTAAATGACTGGAAACAAGAAACAATTGTAAACAAAACACGACCTCTAAAGACAGTGCACCGGACAGAACTAACAATAAAACTGTTTTCAGCTGATCCATAAGGATTAGAAATCTATATCTATAAAATCCAATGTATGTTTGTTTGTATGTTTGTCCTTTATGGACTCCAAAACCGCTCGACAGATTGTAATGAAGATTTCAGGCATTATTAAGCATTATTCAAGGATGGTTTGTGTGAAGTTTGGTGCAGATCCGTCAAAAGGGCTCCGCCCCAGTGGCTCTGGAGTTTCCCATGTTAACCTTATGAGTACTCATATTCAAATGGAATTAAAGAATCTTAACAGCTGGTTCAACTAAACTATCTGATTCTGTGATGTTCAATAACATTAAAAAGTCAATAGGTTTACCAACAGGGTGCAGCACTATATTTTTTTAAGTTATGAGAATAGCTAATTTGCAACCAAAATGTGAGTGAGCGTAGCGAACGAACTTCAACCTGGAGGCGAGTTAGCGTAGCGAACGAGCTAACCTGAAGGCAAGTGAGCGCAGCGAACGAGCTTCAACCTAAAGATGAGTGAGCGTAGCGAACGAACTTCAACCAGGACGTGATTGAGCCATGCGAACGAGCTCATCTTGAAAATGAACGAGCATGTGACATAAAACCACAATAGGACAGGACGACGTCTGTCGGGCCAGCTAGTATACTAATATAAGGGAGTATGTTTTATATTTGGGCTTCTTACTTAAATAGTAGCTTTATAGTATGCAAAAAGATAAAAATGTACATTTGATTTGGATCTTTTTCATGTTATGAAATATCTATTTTCGTAGTTCGCCATTTGTTTCTTTTATTCGAATAAATACAATTTTTTGAACTTCTGCAAATAAATTATTGAGTTCGTATTTTATATACTGGGCTTGTAGCCTTGAATCATAAATCATGATAAAAATTACACGTTAAACGTCAGTCCAGAAATACATTGTAGTGGTAATGTATTTTTAAATAGAGCTATTGAATTTAAATACATATTTATCAATACCATATTATAAAGTTGTAGGCCCAATTTATTCATAGATTGCATTAAAAATTAGTCTATGCATAAATACAAGTTGTAAATTTCTTTTATCGTAGGCTATTAGTGTAGAACCCGGGTCATCCTCTTAATTTTGTTTAATTAATATTAATTTTACGTCTTTCAGTAGGCCTACTTTTTAAAAGTCTGGAGTTTTTCTCCAGGCTGGTTCTAAATCGACCCAGGCGTTCTTGTTTGTTACAATTCTTATGAATGGTGGCCATACCTAAAATTACTTGATCTTATCAAAAAACAAAGCTATTGTCTATTGAGTAGCTCAGTACCGGGGAACGGTGAACCGAGCAATGGCTTGGTATAGTTTATTTCGATTGTGAAACCAATGTAAAGGAAACCCAACTAAGAAAATCCGTCAATTCGTTGATTAAGAATCGTGAATCAAAATTACCCTGTCACGTTTTATTATATGAGTATTATATCTTCTATTGTTTACTAGTGGTGCTTGGGTGTACAATCTAAAAACTGTTTTGAAACATGTAACATTATTACTAAAAAATTCAACACATTTTAGAATTAGGCAACCATTTACTAGTAGGCCTACAATGCTTTGGCTTAAACTATTAGGCCTAGATAAAAGCTTAGTCTAATGTCATATTTTTACACGTAAGTTGGACGATTCAACGACGAACATTTAATTTTAAATCTATGAATTAGTTATGAAAGTTACGATGGTTGATGACTGATGGTTGATGTTTGATGACACTACGATTAAATTTGTTTTCCGTGTTTGAGAACTAGCGTGTGTTTTAGCTTAATTTCGTTAAGTTTTAATTATATAGTACCTTTTCAATATTTTTAAACTCTATTATTTTCTTATGGCATTTATATTTAAGATCGAAATCATAAACATTTAACTGGCCATTGTAGAGTTAAATAAAAAACACTTTTCATGATTTTTTAATAATTGTCTTTGAATTACTTTGGGCTAGTTATCTGTTAAAAGTGAAATTGATAACAAAAACAATTACATTTACTGTATCTTCATTGGCACTGATATTTTGAAATACGGTAATGTACGATTATTTTGTCGTGCAAGGTTGGCAACGCTCCATGCAGTGGGCGCGGCCGGGTTAGCGACTTCCAGAGTTAGCGAATTCCGCCGCGAGACAAAATCGAGTTAGCGGGTTCCTGAGTTAGCCAATTCCTGACTGAGACGGTTAGCCAGTTCCGACACACGACCGAGTTAGCGAGCTCCTGAGTTAGCCAATTCCTACGTCTCGAACATAACATGAAACCTGATGAGCTGAGCAGATTTAATTTAAACGGTTTTATGATAAATTCAGATTACTCTCGGGGAAAATTTAAAAGTGGAGGTGTTTTGATACTATCTAAACTTGGTTTAAAGTGGAAGCAGGTGAATTATGCTAATATTGAAATATTAAGGGAAGAAAAAGTGTTTGAGTTTTGTTGTTCAAAATATTTTTTGTAGGGGATGAAATTCTTTTGGTTGGTATATATAGATCACCTGCAAGTAGTGTTAATGAATTTTTAAGTCAATTGGGTATTCTATGTGACTATGTGTTATCAAAAAACAAAAAGGTGGTAATAGTAGGAGATTTTAATATAAATGTTTTAGTAAACAGCAAACAAAGCAAGGATTTTGATAATTTGTTAAAATCTCATGGTTTGAAATTTTTAGTAAATTTTCCAACAAGGGTCACAGCTAACTCAGTAACGGCTATTGATAACATTCTAACAAACATTCCAACCCATGACTTAAAGACCACAGGAGTCATAACTGAGCTTTCAGATCACGATGAACAAATCTTAGAAATAAATATTTTAGATAAATGTATAAAAAGAATTACATTTTTAAAAAATCCCGACAATTCTCAGAAGAAAATAAGCTCCAATTTTATAAAATGCTGGAAAAGGAAAACTGGAATGATGTTTATTTAGCACCAGTAACAGAAAAGTACAATATTTTTCACAAAATGTTAATTTACTATTTCAATTTATGTTTTGAAAATAAACTTGTCAAAATTTACAACACAAAGAAATTGTGGATGAATCCAGAAATTAAACAAGAAAAACAGGAAATTATAAAAATGAGTAGAATAGCTGGAAAAGTACAAAATAAATGTACTTTTTCGAAACTAAATAAAAGGAAAAAAATATTAAATAAAAAAATTACTGAGAGTAAAAAGAAGTTTTTTGATTTCCAAATTCATAATTCAAGTAACATTAACAAAACCACATGGAGAATAATTAATAATGAAGTTTCAAACAAAAAAAAACACTTACTCAGAGAATATTAGTCTTCGACTGAATGATGAACTAATTGAAAATCCTACTTATGTTGCAAACATGTTTAATAATTACTTTATAGATGTTGTAGTTTTAGTGTTAGGCAACCTTTAGATAAAAATGGAGGAACAACTAATAAAGTTAACGATGCAAATAAAGCAAAAGGGCTTTTTGAAAGTAGGATATTTAAGTGCACTCCTTCCTGTAGATGATAAGGAAATGGAAAGAATTATTGGTTCACTTAAGAATAAAATGTCTAGTGGTTATT